CATCCTTCCTCAGTGAACGGTCTGCGGATAGCTGACAACAGGGTGGCAGGTTTTTTATGTGCTGCTCTAGAGTTCCATAGCCCAGCAGACTCACCTGGGGATAGGGGGATGGACACGTTAGTTTTTATCAAGACTTCTATAGGGAGGAGAGAGCATGAGTTATGGAGTGAGTACAGTAAATCCAACCATTGGCCCTGGATAATATGCTAGCATCACACAGGCAGACAGCCATAGTGAAGGAGGTTTACATAGTGCTATCAAGTATACTGTTATGAGTGGAGCTTACTTCTCTGTTCTCTGGAGAGATCGCAGGTAGTTGGTCTAAAGGCTCTGGAGGTTCTTGGAATCTTCTGTCTCTGTAGCACCTGGAGAGAAGGATAGAGGTAGTGATTGTGCTTGAAAGAGAGAGAGAGTCCTCACCCATGACCTAACCACTAGGCCCCAGGTCCTCCGGCCTAACACCCAATAATCGCAATCTCTACTGACAGGATGGTTACTCCAGGCCTAGAACAGTGGTATGTGGGCATAGGGCTTCTTCCACTCCTTATATGAGTGGAGTATTAGCTCTTGAAATGGTATCATGCAATGTAAAGGATAACATGAGCTAGCTAGCCAACATGCATTGTTTCTGACACATGCCTCTAGGTTCAAAACTATATGGCTGTAGTCCGGTGCTTCATTGACATTGTCAAAAGAAACACACTCGCACACAGCCATCTGGTGCAGTCAAATGGCTCAGCGTTGCAACAGCCTTCACCTGAATCTATGTCAAGCAAGAACAATTATATTTCATGTTTTTATTGTGCTGGTGCAACCCAGCTGTATACAATCGATTTTTATCTCCAATTTACAATGTCGGATATTATAAAAATGTTTTACATATCAGATTGATACATATATGCTCTACTTATTATTGTTTGGGGGGGGGGGGGGGGGGGGGGTAAAATTAAACATGACCTTTAACATTTTGAAAGAAACCATGTTACATGGAACAAAAATGTATCTTAACCTGGACTGGTAAAGCTAATAGATCGTATGTCATTTTGACAGATGATGAGTTCATTTGAGTTGTTACATAACCTCACAGCATTCATCACGTCTCTCAGCCAGCTATACTCCAACTACAATATTCAGTACCATGCTGTAGCCGTGCATCTAGGGAATTATTCTGATATAATTTCTTTCGATGGCAGTAATACACCAAAGAACATAAGATAACATTATTGATTCATGATTATTTGTTTATCTGCCTCTTGCTTGAGTCTCATCTCTGTATGGACCAGCCATAACTAATTAGTCCCTGAATGCAAAGTTACGCTGAGGAAGGGTGGAGGAGGATGGGGGAAGGTGGCACGCTGCAGATGTGGAATTCAAAGCATCTAAATTAGGCCTGACATGTGACTACATCCCTGCTGCACCCCAGCTCACAGCACAAAACAGCCAGCCATGAGGGCGGCATTTGTTTTGGGATATCATTGCTGATATTTGACGACATGTTTTCTTCCTTAATTGGGACAGAATATAAAGGAGCCATCACATTGTCACTGTTAATTATCACTGTGAATTGTCTCTTTGCCGTGTCTCAACACCGCGCTTCGCCTCAACTCATTTGGAGAGTACAGAGATGACGACAGATTATGTCCCAACATTGTTCAGTCGGTTTAGAGACGAGAAGGGTAGCAAATAAGATTTCCAAATTAATTGTTGTGCGAGACTCTGCCGGCCCGATATCTTGCTTTTCACTTTAATGAATGTTGTTTGAGCACAGGATGAATTGGATGACTTGGTAATGTGGTAATGCAGAGACAAAATAGATTCTTCTCTCTTAAACTCATCCACACACACACTCTCTCTCGCTCTCTCTTACTTTACCACTATTCCTCTCTTCAATGCCATCTATTCCTATTGTATTCTATCTCTATTCCTCTTCCCCTCCCTCTATTCTCCCTCCCTCCCTCTGCTGATTGAAATTCATGCTAGCTTCAGCCCTAGAGCCTTCAAGAGCCTGGTGTCTGGTGACCACACCGGCAGGCAGAAAAGGTAGTGGGAGGAGGAGGGAAAAATGTGAAGACGAGTTCAAAACAGGCTATCCTGTCTCTGAAATAAAGACCACACAGGCAGGCAGCTCAGGTAGTGGGATGAAGAGGAGGAGTAGGGGGGAGGAGGAGTAGGATGAGGAGGAGGATGGGGGGAAGATGTGAATACAAGTTCAAGATTCAGGCTATCCTGCCTCTGAAAAAAGAGGGTAATAAGGCCTTCTACCTCAGTGGGCAGCGATAGAGTGAGCAAGGCAAAACAATTTACACACGCACACACATACACACACACACACAAAACCACTACAAAAGAGACGCCTGGGCAAATATTGTTTAATGATTCAGGGATTGGGGTTTAAGAGGGCAACGTTCAGCAATTCAATCTACACAGTAAACAATCATAATTGGATTGTGTGCTTATGGGCTTTGATGTGTTTCAATCCTTGGAGGACAGCATATTATAAGGCCTAATTGATTTCATACATATGAACATGGGTTTGGGAAAATTAGCCGAAAACAAATCTCTGGTGGAGAGCTGTAATTATGTGTCTAATCATGAGTTTAGGGTTTTATTTGGTGCCCTATACAGTCCAGTTACAGTCCTTTATTTTTTATTTCCATAATAGATGTGGTTGGTTGTCGACTGGTGGTTAACCAGAGAAGTGTGGGTCTGAGTCTCTTCCAAGGCCAATCCTGTGGAGGTGACATCGAAGACCCCCGGCTAGCCACAAATTGGTCCCCAGGGGCGAGACAGAGGCCAGGGGGGCCAGAGTGAGGGGACCAGCTTCGACCCTCCCACGGCTGACCCTGTACCCCCGATGGGCTCAGCTGAGCTCAGGCAGGTGTGTCGGTGAAATATGCCCACTTGCTATACCTCCACTTGGGATATGAATCGTGTTAACACTGTCCACCAATCACAGGCTTGAGGGAAAGAGGGGAAAGCAGTCTGAAGGTGAAACAATTTAACTATTTTACTCCTTTACAAAGATACTTACATTTGAAGTTGGTTTGAGCTCTTGGACATACATGTATTCATTTATTTATCCTTTATTTAACCAGGCAAGTCCATTAAGAACCAGGCAAGTCAATTAAAGGGATACTTCAGGATTTTGACAATGAAGCCCTTTATCTATCTACTTTCCTAGAGTCAGATGAACTCAAGGATACCATTTTTATGTCTCTGCCTCTAGTATGAAGGAAATTAGAGGTCATTTCGCAAGCCAATGCTAACTAGCATGCTAGTAGTTACCATAGACTTCCAGTCATTGTGCTAACGCTAGTTTGCAATTGTGCAAACGCTAGTTAACAACTTCCTTCAAACTGCACGCAGAGACATAAAAATGGTATCCACAAGTTCATCTGACTCTGGAGAAGTAGATAAAGGGCTTATGTGCCAAAATTCTGAACTATCCCTTTAAGAACATATTCTTATTAACACAGAGCAATGCAGGTACAGTCAAGCTAACCTATGACAATGTAAATATTCTTTCTGATTATAAAAGAACAATACTGTAGGCCGTCCTTGGTCCCTCCAAAGGTTGCACCATTACATTTGGCTACATTACTTCCCCAGTGACACCCCGGCCAGCAGAAAGGTGAGCTCCTTGGCTCAGCAAGCGTTCAGATCCTCGGTTTCACATCACCTTCAATTTGAATTCCATTATCTGCAATGCCACTTTTCAAATAATGGTAGGCCCCATTAATTACCAAAGTACGGGTCCAGGGTAAAGGTGAACATGCAGTTACAGAATTAAATCAAGCCGCAGTTTAGCTTGTCAGTCCTGACAGAAATAACTTGGGTGAATTATTAAATGCCTCTGCTCGTCTCCTTGGCTTTATTGTCAGACATTCCCACACTGCACGAGTCAAAGCAAAATATTTTCTTCCCTTTAATGAAATAAAACTATTAATCATGTTATTTTTTTCTCATATTAGATTGATACAGTCTTCCAAAGTCTCTGATGTAACCCCAAAAACAAGGCTTTAACGTGACTACTATTTGAAACAGTTTATTTTTTACTGACATGCTGTTACCAAATATATTTTGCAAGGAGGGGGGGGTCGGTCATCTAATCTGAGGCGATTATGGGTCTTTAAGTCTAATATTTCCAAATTGCAGATTGTTATCATGATTTTCTGTCCATTTAATTGCAAAATGCAATTACTGCATCTACACAAGGTACTACCATAGGAAAGCGATGTCATATGAAGTTTTTGGAGCTCATCACATTGCCATGGTAACATAAAACATTTGGAGAAATTGTATATATTTGGGAATTATGAAAGCTTTGCGCACCTATGTTTACTCAGCTTTTTACCTCATTCTTATCAATTTTAATATGGAAGTCAGGGCCCGTATTCACACCATTCATTATGAAATAAAAACCTAAACTGATCCTAGTTCAGCTGAGACACTTTTACTGCATTTAGACAGGCAGCCCAATTCTGATATTTTGTTCCACTAATTGGTATTATGACCAATCAGATCAGCTCTGAAAAAGCGCTGATGTGATTGGTCAAAAGACCAATTAATGGAACAAATATCAGAATTGGGCTGCCTGTGAAAACCAGCCATAGTTGCTAATAATTATACTTTTTTTTTTTCTATTAGTTTGATCATTTTTTCCCCTCTACCTAAAGATTGTAACCTTTCACATTCAAAAGACCTGTTCAATTCAATTAATGCTTTACAGCTTACTTGCATGCAACAAAAATGGATGGTTAAACCACATATATAGAACACGTTTTAGTATAGATCGGTTAAACCACCACAATACTGCCGTTAAGCAGACGTTTCTAATGGTTGCGTAAATTCAATGTATGGTCTCCATGACAACCAGCTGTCCGTAATTAGTTAATCAAGACAGGCAAGTTTGAGGCTCAAAGTGGCTGCATATGTCAAGAGGTGGTAAGGTGCTTGAATAATTTGGTCATCAGGTAGTTTGTGTCCATACCACTGAAACAATGCATCTAGCTCTGCCCATATATCTAAGGTATTTTAAAACTTCTGGCTCTTTAGAAATGGTTTTCTTATTAGATCATGGATTTGTATTAAATTGCTTTGATTTCTCTTGCAGTGTCCTTTTGATTGGCTGTGTCATTGCTGGAGGTTCCTGGTGTGCCAAAATGGCAAGAGGTACTCTGTGCATGTCCTAAATGTTGTTGCTTAATGTCATATTTCGGCGTAAGATACTTACACTAACATTTCTGTTTTGTTGCCGTCTTTCCACTTCAGCCCGTGCAGCTGCCATGGGTTTGGACCTCCCTAGGACCCAGTTTGTCCCTTACCATCTTCGACCAACACGCCATGGGAGTTTTGATCCCATAAGAAACCACTGAAAATAATGATGGCCCCAAAGAGGCTGAGTTTCAGCACAATGGTAAAATCCAAGGGGATGGATATCCAAGTGACTGGGCCTATGAACAAGTCTTCCCCAGAGGCTTTCAACCCAAACCGTCTACACTAAACCACTACGGTTCTGATCCCAGTTTGGCTGACTCCTCTGTCAGCCATTCTTCCCACACTCCCAGGGGAGAGTTTATTAGCAGCCACAAGCCCAACTTTGATCAGGTGAAGAATTCTGCGCCTCGACCAAATGTAATGGTAGCCCCTGGTCAGTTTGAGTACTCAGAGAAAGTGGACATTCGAGGTTACTATAAGCCTATTGTAGTTCAGCCTGTCCCCAGCAGACATGGAATAGCCCAGAGTGGGGTTTCACGACCCCAGGATTATGGTGCTGTACCCTATGGAAAAAGTATCCTATGGCCCTGGCCTCAGTAGAGGCTTTTCCTCTAGATCCTCTCCACCATCCCAGAGTGGACTGATCAGCCACTAAACTAAGACAATTATGTTCCCAGGCCCTGGTGCTGTCCATTCCTTGATCAAAGAGCAGAATATGAAGCAGTTTGTGATGATGAGTCAGCCAAAACAGGGATCCGGTTGGTTAAGATCCTAATGGACAAACTTTATTTTGGTTTGCAAAGGAAAGTTTGTCCGTTAGGATCTTAACCAACCGGATCCCTGTTTTTGCTGACTCTTCATCACAAACCTTTGTCTGAGGAGCCAACCATACCAGTGGTGAGCGAATCGGTGACCCTATGCACTTTTAAGGGCAAAACCTGTATGCTGTGTTTGTATTAAAGTACATTTACTTATCCATGGCATCACTGTGTTCTGAATCACTATTTGGTTATGGCTCTTCCCCCACTGACCAGTTAATCCTTCAAACAAAATGTCCATTATGTTTTGAGATTTTTTTAAATTATGATTAGACTAAATTAAACTGATAGACCAAGTAGAGACTAACAACATGCTACATTTATACAATGTTGGTATAAGACCAGTTATCCATCAGTAAGCATGCACCAGAATGTATCATTCGCTTTGAAGTCTACCGGAGTGTAGGTTAAGATACACTTTGAACAGAAATAAGATGTCCTTTGATAAATTGTTCAGTTGGCTTGTTGACCTACATCAACTTTTGATCACCTCTTTTAAGTGATTGTGTCCCTGTAAACCCACATTTTAATCTTGAGATGAAGCAATTGGACAGAAACTACCAGAGGTTGTCTCTAAATAAACGTGACACCTACACCAAAGATGGTGGATAAATGAAGATGGTTCACTCAAGCCGTTTAAAACAAATATGACTAATTGGGCTCTCTCGCGTGAGCATGCTTTCCTATGTGAGCTCATGGTTTCTCCATATTAGAGCCCCACAGTGGAGATGTCATAATACCCATAAAACCTAGCGGTCAAACAGGGAAATGGTTCCAATCTTTTTTCCACCATTCATTTTTCCCATAGGGGATTTTAGAATCACTTAAAGTAAGGGCTGTGTTTCGTGTAGGCTTACCCTGGTGTGACGTTTTGATAACCATGTAAATCTCTCTCGGACAAGATGACTTTAATCAATATGTTCGGCTCTATTTACTCTCAGATTCGAAAATGCAAAATCATGCAAAACTGCAAGTTCATGCACGTCATCTCTAGCATCCCTTTGCTAACAGGTATTGTGTTAATTTAAAACTTGCACAAGACAGTTCACAGAATTGTCCATTTAAAGACAAGTAGCCAATTTATTCATTACTACATTTAGCTAACATTAGATTGTTAATCCAGAGATTCTTACCTTTGCCTCAGTTTAGCAGTCTCGTCCAGATCATCATGGCATTTATAGTTCTTTATGATAGCTACATTAGCAGCTAATTAGCATTTCATTTTGAGGGAATAAATACAGGTGAATATATTGATAAAAGTCACCTTGTCCTAGAGAGATTTACAATACACGCTTATCAAAATGTCATGCCAGGGTAAGCCTACACGAAACACAGCCCTTATTTTAAGTGTTTCTAAAATCCCCTATGGGAAGAATGAATGGAACCATTTCCCTATTTGACCGCTAGGTTCTGTGGTACTCTATATCTGGCATGCTCACACGAGAGAGGGAACAGCTGGCTCTGGTCTACTTATTGTCTCCAAAGTTGCCAGGATGTCATGTGCATCACACTTATATCTGCACACTCGTAACAAGCCAAGCAGAGCTAATCTTACATTATATCAAATAAGTGTCACGTATCAAAATAGCAATACATTTTTATCTTGACTAAATTCAACACTCTCATTGCCCCCATACAAAAACTCCTCACTTGCTTAATAATTAATGATCTGCTTAATGTGGGCAGAATTTGGGCAGAGTACATCCTCTCTCTTAGCCTCTTCCTCTCTGCCTACACTTCATTAACCTCAAGTTTATTTGCTGTAGGACTCACATGATCTACTGTCAAATGTGTCCAACTGCTCCTCCGAACTTTACTGATCTCAGAAGGCTTGATGCTACCAGAGTGCCATCTATTGGTGCAAGCAAGCTGGTGTCATATTGGATTGCACTGCTGTCCACACCAGTGCTGCGAATCAAACAAAGTTTGTTTTCTGACTTTTAACATTTGAACAAAGTCATACATTAATTTGCTTTGCAGAGTTCTTCGGAAATATCTTATGGGATTTCAAGATGTTTGGATTCACTCTATAGGCAGTTTACAACATGTTAAAGGGACATGACACTCCAAAATCAAACTTTGCCACCTGTTTTCAGACCTCAAATTTGGTCTTCTGTTGAGATAAGTCCACTTCCCACTGGCCATATGTTTAGTAGATCCAGGACAATATAGTGGCATTAAGGACAATATACAATATGCACATTAGTTTCTGCCTTTTTGAATGGAGAGCAGGCAAGAGAAACCCAATTGAATGTGCCATTGGTGTGATTAATTAAAGCAAGGCTTCTGTTCCCTTTGCATTCAGTGAAAGGACCTTACATGTCACTCCCAGCTTTCATCTCTCCCTGAAAGGCAGTTTGAGGAGTGCAAAGAGGGCGAGGCGGATAAGGTTATACTGAACACGCCATAAATCAATCTCAGACACAAATAGGAAAGTAAGTGACAGAACAAAGTGAAGCAATTAACTGGGTTTTTAAAGGAGGTGTGGGCAGGAGAGTGTGGTCATACATCATGTGTCAAATGCGTGGTGTGTGGGCAGGCGTGAAGTGGTGAGGGACCTATCATCCACTAGGTGGGATGACTCAGTGGAATACACCTGGTGAAGCTTCACCTGGCGAGTTGACAACAGCTAAACTGTCACAGACGGAGAATCCCTGAAACAACACATAAGACACAGCAATGAAAATGAATCATCAACTACTAATTGTCTAATCTCACAGCGATATTAGCACCATTCAGTATCTACTATATGACACCACCGGTATGATTCTGTTTCCTTTAGATCAATGAATTAATGACCCGGTTCCCTCGTACAGCACAGGGAGAGACTACATTGGGGCTGTCGGAGCCAACTTCTGCCTAACCTGAGTGAGGCTAACTAAGCACAGTTGTTTCACAAACACAACAAACACTCTTTGACTAATACTGTGACTCACTCTCACACACCATGTGACTCATGCTTCAGTGGAGCCCTCCGTATGTGTGTGTGTATGCGTGCATGTTCATGAGTGCGTGCATGCGTGTGTGCATGCACACTCGTGCTAGTGTGTGTTTGTGTGTATGTATTTCCAGAGAGGTGACAGACTCTCCAAGTCCTCCAGTGGAGCACCTCTCATCCCCATAACTAGGGAAAGGAAAGGACAACATTATAGACAGAGCTTATTATGTAAAGGATGTTGTTTTTTTGCTCTGGGCAGGCACACGTGTGGACATGGCCTGAGAGATGGAGGATGCGTCCCAAATGGCACCCTATTCCTTATAGTGCAATAGTTTTGACCAGAGCCTCATGGGCCCTGGTCAAAAGTATTGCATTATAAACAAAATCGGGTGCCATTTAGGAAGGTGGCGGAATTTATATGGGCCATATGCACTGAGTATACCAAACACAAGCAAACCCCCCCACCCACCCACAAACACTCCCCTCTCCCCCTTTTGCCCCCAGAACAGCCTCAATTCGTCGGGGCATGGACTCTACAAGGTGTCAAAAGCATTCCACAGGGATGCTGGGCCATGTTGACTCCAATGCTTACCACCGTTGTGTCAAATTGGCTGGATGTCATTTAGGTGGTTGACCATTCTTGATACACACGTGAAACTGTTGAGCATGAAAAACCCAGCAGCGTTGTAGTTCTTGACACAAACCGGTGCGCCTGGCACCTACTACTATACCCCGTTCAAAGGCACTTACATGGCACACATACACAATCCATGTCTCAATTGTCTCAAGGCTTAAAAATCCTTCTTTAACCTGTGGTTAAAGGTGTGATGGAGGTGTGATGGAGGTGTGACGCAGCCAATATATATCAGGTTCGCCCCTAGTTTCTTCACCCTCATCCTCTATACAGCAAAAATACAATCTGGCCTGTTCCATGTTTTTTTATCTGAACATTTCAGTCATTGTTGCTCTGGTTTTGGCCAACATTCTCTAACATATTTGACTCTTTGAATGCGCCTTGTCTTTATTGGATCATGTCGACAAAACCCTCAAACACCTCTTCAAAAGTAATTATCTTCTTAACACGCAATCCCAGGAGGCACAATGTGGTTAATAAGACTGTGGTTATCCCCTCTCTCCCCCCATTCATCCCTCACTCCCTACCTCCCTCGTCCCCTCTCTCCTCCTCTTGTCCTCCCTCCCACAGCAGCCTCTCTCTGTGAGCCCACTAGGCTGCCAGCGCCACTGACCTGTGGTAAGGGGGAAATCAATAGTCAATTCCATTTTGCGGCCAGCGTTTGACAGGTACTAGATAGGAGTGGATTGGGTGCATGTAAGGAGCAGGAGCGTGAGTCTGAGCCTGTCTGACCCTCCCTCTCTCTCTCTCACCCTTCCCATTTCTATCCCCAAGCTTCTCAGAGACAGCTATGAAGTGCATGCAGCCACAGTCCTATTTTCTCTGACTACTGCCAGATCAAAAACACTAATCCAGCCAAGCAGCAGGGGTCAGGGGGACAAACTATGTGTTGATGTCAAACAAGTGAGTCACATATTGTAAATGTTGTATAGTAAAAATGTATAGCTAAATCCATGAGGGGAGCTTCAAAGGTGTATCGATTTATCCATAATTTGTATCTTGAATACATTATCGGTTCATTACCCTTTGCAGTAAGCGCTTTGATGTACATCTATTACAAATATACACTGAGTGTATAAAACATTAGGAACACCTTCCTAATATTGAGTTGGATCCCCTTTTGCCCTCAGAACAGCCTCAATTCGTCGGGGCATGGACTCTACAAGGTGTCGAAAGCATTCAACAGGGATGCCCTGGAAAATATACGGTGCTGAATATTTCCCCTACAATGTCTAATTTTGGGTGAGTCTCTGTTAATTTGCGTAAGAAGCAAAAGGGCAGAGACAGTCAGTGAGCAGTAAAATACAGTTCATACACAGGAATCCCAATCAAGCGAGGACGGTTTATCATCAGCTCGGGTTCGCTCGGGGCCCCGAGGTAATTTAACTGCTCACTGAGATGTAAAATGTAATACCCAGTAGATTGAGAGCACTCCTTTCATTAACGCTGATTAAAGAAAATGATCAAGCAAAATATGTCAACTGCACGATAATGAGTTAATGCATTTTTAATTAGTGTCTACTTCTCTTTTCTCTGTTGATTTTCACCCAGTGACTTGGTTATGCATTCCTTTAAATCTCTCTCTGGCGCCCTCTGATTAACAGTTAGGTTTCATTATGGTTTGCAGGAGAGCGGGACAGCGCGGATACAGTAGTTAGATGAAAAGTTGAGTGGGTGAGCCTCGATGTTTGAAATCGAGGCCTCCAACACAAAATCATTTTACAATTTAATAAGCTAATAAACGTGACACGGTGACTGTCTCTGAGTGCCCTTGAGGGTCAAGGCACAGTTTACAATCACATTTAAGAGCTGTTTCTCTTACCAAGGCAACAATAGGTTAGACAGACAGAGAGGGGCCACTACACATTGGAGAAGACAGTGGTGTATATGACACTTAATGTGGGAAACTCAAGAACAGGAGGTCATATTGAACTCTTATGCTGTTCCTAGATAAGGGAACTGTAGATATGCAACATAGTCTCATGCACTATAAGTTCCATTTCAACGTTTTTGCTAAATAGTTGTACAGTGAAGGAAAAAAGCATTTGATCCCCTGCTGATTTTGTACGTTTGCCCACTGACAAAGAAATTATCAGTCTATCATTTTAATGGTAGGTTTATTTGAACAGTGAGAGACAGAATAAAAATTTAAAAAATCCAGAAAACGCATGTCAAAAATGTTATAAATGGATTTGCATTTTAATGAGGGAAATAAGTATTTGACCCCCTCTAAATCAGAAAGATTTCTGGCTCCCAGGTGTCTTTTATACAGGTAACGAGCTGAGATTAGCACACTCTTAAAAGGAGTGCTCCTAATCTCAGCTTGTTACCTGTATAAAAGACACCTGTCCACAGAATCAATCAATCAATCAGATTCCAAACTTTCCACCATGGCCAAGACCAAAGAGCTCTCCAAGGATGTCAGGGACAAGATTGTAGACCTACACAAGGCTGGAATGGGCTACAAGACCATCGCCAAGCAGCTTGGTGAGAAGGTGACAACAGTTGGTGCGATTATTCGCAAATGGAAGAAACACAAAAGACCTGTCAATCTCCCTCAGCCTGGGGCTCCATGCTAGATCTCACCTCGTGGAGTTGCAATGATCATGAGAACGGTGAGGAATCAGCCCAGAACTACACGGGAGGATCTTGTCAATGATCTCAAGGCAGCTGGGACCATAGTCACCAAGAAAACAATTGGTAACACACTACGCCGAGAAGGACTGAAATCCTGCAGCGCCTGCAAGGTCCCCCTGCTCAAGAAAGCACATATACAGGGCCGTCTGAAGTTTGCCAATGAACATCTGAATGATTCAGAGGAGAACTGGGTGAAAGTGTTGTGGTCAGATGAGACCAAAATCGAGCTCTTTGGCATCAACTCAACCTGCCGTGTTTGGAGGAGGGGGAATGCTGCCTATGACCCCAAGAACACCATCCCCACCGTCAAACATGGAGGTGGAAACATTATGCTTTGGGGGTGTTTTTCTGCTAAGAGGACAGGACAACTTCACCGCATCAAAGGGACGATGGACGGGCCATGTACCGTCAAATCTTGGGTGAGAACCTCCTTCCCTCAGCCAGGGCATTGAAAATGGGTTGTGGATGGGTATTCCAGCATGACAATGACCCAAAACACACGGCCAAGGCAACAAAGGAGTGGCTCAAGAAGAAGCACATTAAGGTCCTGGAGTGCCCTAGCCAGTCTCCAGACCTTAATCCCATCGAAAATCTGTGGAGGGAGCTGAAGGTTCGAGTTGCCAAACGTCAGCCTCGAAACCTTAATGACTTGGAGAAGATCTGCAAAGAGGAGTAGAACAAAATCCCTCCTGAGCTGTGTGCAAACCTGGTGGCCAACTACAAGAAACGTCTGACCTCTGTGATTGCCAACAAGGGTTTTGCCACCAAGTACTAATTCATGTTTTGCAGAGGGGTCAAATACTTATTTCCCTCATTAAAATGCAAATCAATTTATAACATTTTTGACATGCGTTTTTCTGGATTTTTTTGTTGTTATTCTGTCTCTCACTGTTCAAATAAACCTACCATTAAAATTATAGACTGATCATGTCTTTGTCAGTGGGCAAACATACAAAATCAGCAGGGGATCAAATACTTTTTTCCCTCACTGTATATGAAAAATGTTTCTTTTTTGTTTGCAGTAACTTTGCATATGAAAGGATTTCAAAATGTTTCTGTCAGGGTTGAGATATTGGTGTTCTGTACAATATTACTGGAATCAGAAGCCATTTTTCTATATGAAAAATATTGTCTTAATGTGACAAACAGGAAGAGCGGATGCCTTTACTGGCCAGTCAATAGTTCTAATACCTCATTCCTATTTGTCTTCAGATGTTTCTCATTGGTAGCAAAATTAGCAGCTTTTGTCAAGGCCATACCAGAGAGGAAGAGGCAAAGCGAGAGGATTGACTCTGGAGGCATGCGGGAGGAGGCTTATACTGTAGCGTTAAGAAGACCAAGTGAGGAGTTATTGTATGGGGGGCAATGAGAGAGTGTCAAATTTGGTCAAGTTAAAAGTGAAGAATTGGTCTGGTGTGTTAGAAATGCCAGGGAACTTTTCTGTTCTCAGTCCGCCACTGCTTTTAATTAAGCACATAGTATTGCAATTGAAACACACAACTGAAAACAATGGGCTAGGAAGATGGGTTCAATATGCTGCTTGGAGCCTGAACAACATACTGTATCTCCAAACACACAGAATAGACTGCAAACAAAAATAAAAATATGTTATTGAAGTGGCATAACTTAATGAAACAAACATTTTGGAATATTGTCAAACTTAGATAAACAAACACTGATACAGATGAACAAACATACCTTCTCAGAACACTCAACCACACCCCAAACATTTCTGACAATTGACACCTGTGATCCTCCAAATGTGAATAATTATAAATGCTCAAACTTAAAATATAATAATAATCTTTATTTCAAATAGTTTGACTAATTTATTAATCTCTCGTAGACAAACGCATGTAACATTGAGCATCTGACTCAATTATGTGAGATTTTTCATCTGGGTTTCCAAGATTACTCATTTATTTATTTCAAGACGTTTAACTTGACTTCCGTATCTCTCCTGTTATGGGCCCCAACACCCCACGTCATGTCATCTTTCCTGTATATGGTGAATTCAAAATAAGGATGTGGCTGGCTGTTAAACTCAAGTGGCCCTGAAACCTGAGCTCCATTCCGCCACTCTGTTCCATCTGATCCTATCTACACCAGAGTCTGATGAAAGTCTTTCCTGGTGCTGGGGCTGTGTGTGGTGAGTGGTGTTGCTCTCTAATGGATTTTCTTTATCTCTGAATCACACTGCCTACCAAGCCTTTTCCTTCTGATTCACTTGAATCTACAGAAGAGAGGGGGGGAATAGAACACAATATCTGTTATTGGTGAGTGAGTGGGTGAGTGAGTGAGTGAGTGAGTGAGTGAGTGAGTGAGTGAGTGAGTGAGTGAGTGAGTGAGTGAGTGAGTGAGTGAGTGAGTGAGTGAGTGAGTGAGTGAGTGAGTGAGTGAGTGAGTGAGTGAGTGAGTGAGTGAGTGAGTGAGTGAGTGAGTGAGTGAGTGAGTGAGTGAGTGAGTGAGTGAGTGAGTGAGTGAGTGAGTGAGTGTGTCTGAGAAGCTCAGACTAGGAAATTGAATCTCCCTGTTCAACTGTGTGGATATGTCAAATGATTTACCTATTGGTAATTGAATAGGATTTAGTGACTTATGTCATCAGTACATGTATCTAACTTGAAATGTTTTGAAACCAACCTGACGTCATGACCTTTTCCATTTTAATGTGACAATTATACAACAATTCCTGCGTCACTACTAGCTGATCACTATCTGCACTCATACTACATATTCTCTTTTGGAATATTAATGGGAAAAAAACAAGTATATCACTCATTCTGGGATAGGTATAATATGTTTGTGTGCAGTCAATATATGCAAAAGAGGATGTGAAAGAGATTGTTTTCCTCTTTCTACTCTTTTGTTTTTATGACAAATTATTACTGATTTAGAAGTCTAGTGTCTCAGGTCAAGTTCCAGCAAAGAAGATACCTCTCATGGAAAATTAAAGGGTAGATTGTCAAATAAGGATTTGTACATATCTCTGATATGTTCACCAAATTAACTGAAAGTACAATTGAAGATTTGCGGAGGAAGAGAAACAAAAGGGAAATAGTCACAGCTTTAACTTTGTTACCCTGTTAGAAGATATTGCCTAATCGAGAAAGAGGGACTGTTGTAACATTTACCACAATGGCTAAGGAGAAGAACAAGTTTAAGGGGAGACAGAGGAACAAGGTATAGAACATGTTGAAATATTGTTCTCGACTCTATTCTCTCTTTGTCACATATGCTGTATTACACAACAAAGGGTGTCAAAATCACTCTGAAACAATAACATGCTTTTGTGAGAATATTGTGCCATTGTAGGTAGTTTGGAAAAACAACCTTTTGGGGCACAAAAGTCCACCCATACTTATAAACTACATTATAAAATCCAACCATTCTATGGAATGCCTATAGACATGGCCTCTGAAGGTACTCAAACATTTTACATAAATTAAGCTTGTTTATTGACCATCCTGACATATTTGTATTACACTGATAGGTTAGCCTATAGAAGGAAAATATATCATAACACTGCTTTCCTTTAATGGAAAATAGGAAATTGGCATTCTCATTAGCGTTCACAAACATACTAAATAATGGTGCTAGAGAGCGACACGCTAGCCGGTGACAAAATAAATCACTCCAAATGCAATAACTTTATTTTCTGTCTGTCTCTCTCTGTCTCTCTCTCTCTCTCTGCCCCTTTCTCTCTCTCTCTCTCTCTCTCTCTCTCTCCCTCAAAGGCAGCAAGGCACATTTAGGAGCCGTAGGCAATTAGCTCCCTGCAATAATAGTAAGGCAAAACTCAGGAAAGGAGGAAGAGAGAAGTGGAGGCCTTTATGCAGACAGCAGTAAATAGAAGAAGACTTCATTGGCCTCGCATCATGCATCCACTACATAGGTTACGTCCCAAATGTAGGGAATAGGGTGCCATTTTAAAAAGCAGATGTATTTTCCGTCCCCTACTCTAGGTCAAAAATATACAGGTCAGGACAAGAGGATTCTAATATCCCATAACTATTTGCATAATTGCCGGAAGAAGTCAATACAATGGGACCAGCAATGCGAGCAAAAATGACTGGAAGTGAATGTTAGCAGTACAGAAAATGTGCCATCAAAGTGAATTTCATCTAACTCTACTCAGCAAACACATGGCATAACTGTTTTACTGTCATTCTAGTCATTTAAATGTTTTTCAGATTATCTACAGCCACGTTATTACTTGATTTCCTGACCGCTGAAAGGTAACCAAAGGGTAACCAAATTCAGAAACACATTTCAATTTCCGCTGGTCTATCTCAGTTATTTCCCTATTTCAGTGATTTTGAATATTAAGTGATGATAAATAATTTGTCAACGATACAGAACCTGCAGAGCCTTGGTCGACTAGCAGAGAGACGGGCAGGTTTGAGAGAGAGAGAGAGAGAGAGAGAGAGAGAGAGAGAGAGAGAGAGAGAGAGAGAGAGAGAGAGAGAGAGAGAGATTGAATTGAAATTGAAATTGAAATAGAGAGAGAGAGATTGAATTGAAATTGAAATTGAGAGAGAGAGAGAGAGAGAGAGAGAGAGAGAGAGAGAGAGAGAGATCAAGGATGTACAAACGAGCAATAATCTAATTCCCAACACACACTCTCATTGGTCATGCCATCCTCCATCTTAGCCATGAGGGCCTAGTTACATTTCACCCAGTTGGCGTATGTATTCTAGCCAAATAACAGTAATGGGGGCAAGGCTGTGATTGGTCCATTGCCAGAGGGTGACAAGACGTTTCACAAGGATGTAATGTTCTCAGTGATTTCCCTATTTCAGTGATTTTGAATACTAAGTGATACATTATTTGGCAACGGTTCAGAACATACAGAGCCTTGGTCGACTGGCAGAGAGACGGGCAGGTTTGAGAGGTTTGCAACCAGAGAGAGAGCAAGAGAGCGCGAGAGAGAGAAAGAGAGAGAGAGAAAGAGAGAAATCAAGGATGTACATGTCACCGCCCTCAAACAAGATATAATCTAATTCCCAACACACACTTTCCTTTGTCATGCCATCCTCCATCTTAGCCATGAGGGCCTAGTTACATTTCACAAGAGGTTTCACAAGGATGTGGTTTTCAGTTGCCTGTCACCAGTATGTGCCTTCTCAGGATAGAGATAACACAGAGGTTGTAAAAACAAGAGTCCTATTCATTAGGCACCAAACGGAAGAAAAAGAAGAGAGACAAGCTGATCTTGTCCAATAAGAAGCGCTCAAATTTTGCTACAGTGTACCTGAATACAACCCAGCAGCCCCCAGTCAACTCCCAGAAGGGGACAGTCCCACATGACAGACAGGATATAACCGCCCTCTCTCTTTCCACAAAGACCATACAGAGACACAAGCATGATCTGAGGGCATCGGCAGATGGCAATCTTGCCATTGGTGATTGGTGCACTCTCATCTCTAGACTTTAGAATCAAAGTCTTTAAGTCATTAACACATTTCCTATGACTGTGGAATTGTGAGTATCCCAGTGTTTGTTTGTTATAGACAGTTGTCTAATCTTTTTTTTCCTCGTAGTTTACATGTGTCAGTTGTGTATGATGCATCTTCACTCATGTCAGCTTGTAGTGTCAAACAGTACAAACAGCTTGCTCATGACAGGTTTGGAAAAACAGTCATTATCGTCTCCATTGCTATTTATACACTGTTGTCCATCAATAAGAGGCCAGGGATTTCAAATGTTGTTTTGATTCCATTGAATGCAACGTACTTTCACCCTTTCTTCTTCAAAATCACTAATTTCACATCTTCCCCTCTCACAGGTTTGTATCACCATGGCATCAGCCTGGATAGCAATGTTTGCCACGCTGCTGCTGGCATTTGTGAATGGAACAAAAGATGGTGAGTGCTGTCTTTGTAATGAATAACCATTTCTAAATGGCAACACCTTGCCAGCAGTAACAAAGACAGTAGAATAGACACTTCACATCCCATTCTCTTAAAAATGCTTTTTTTGAAATGTAAATCTTGAAATGATCAGTGTAATTTCAGTCTCACTGAGACATGGGAATATAGGCAAGAAATATGGAGCTGTATCTTACGATAAGTCATTTATTTGGTGGCTTAAAGGGCCCTTTTTCAACCTTCTCCCTCAATGTTGCTGATGCGTTGATCTGCTCTTGGCTCTCTTTCCTTTCCTTCCCTGTCAGAGGTTCACACGTCCCCGTCTGTGGAGGTACATACTTCCACCCCTGTGGTGGCTTTGGGTTCACCGGTGACTGCCTCTTGCGTCATCAGAGATGACTGCCCCCTGATAAAGGGACAAGCCGTTCACATTGTCTGGCACCTCAACCATCGCCTTATTCCCAGCGGTCCTGCAGCAGCCAATGAGAGTGGTGGAAACTCTGCAGCGGCCAATGAAAGTGGCTGGATCTCCACAGTTTTATATTCTGCAGCCAATCAGAGTGGCTGGAACTCAACAGTGTCTATACCTAGCTTCACGGACACCAGGGGATATCTCACGTGCTGTGTCCTCCACACCTTCCCGTGCCAGATCGTAGGAGCAGTGGAGATAAGAGCTGGATGTGAGAGACATTTTTTTCTTTGTTTCTTTGTTTTGTTTGTTTATGCCTGTTAAGTGGTGTGCTGTATGTGTAGTCTACCATAGCTCCATTTTCATTCATAGTAAGGGATATCCCTTACCCCACATAAAAAGATCACAGATGGGACCATGGTAAAGAATGGCATTTCTTTATTTTATTACAATTTTTCAACTGTTGGAATTTTAATATGAAGGTCTTCTAGTGCCGCACCTCCCTGATTTCCCTCATGTCCAACATCTAGTATTGAACATGCTGTACTTTCATTTCAAGGAGCAGTTCTGAGAAACCTAAGTGTACTGAGCATAAAATAAGAATTAATTGGAATATTTTTAAAGGTAGACTCAGCGGATATTGAGATGAGCAAGATGCAAGACTTCGCTCTCACACAGTCACACACAGTATCTGTGCATGTGCACGGGTTCGCCTCGCGCTGATAGAGCGTGGTAGCCACAGGACCAACACAGCTGTGAAATTGAGCCTTGTGCGTCAACGCTCGTAGTTATTGAAGAAATTGACCCACTATGCTGTTTACTTTCTGCATTTCATATCGCTGAGTCTACCTTTACATGTTTTAAACATACGTTTCACCTCAGATCAAGAATAAAAACCTGAACTGATAATGATCAGTTCTGTAATGCAGTTCTGAAGATTTGATCATTTTCTGTTCCAAAATCTAATCAAAATTTAATCAAATGTAATTATAAAGCTCTTTTTTCTTCAGCAGATGTCACAAAGTGCTTATACAGAAACCCAGCCTAAAACTCCAAACAGTAAGCAATAAAGATGTAGAGGCAGGAACCTAGGAAGTAACCTAGAGAGGAACCAGGCTCTGAGGGGTGAGCGCTAACTAACTTTTACATTGTTTTGCTCACTCAATAATTGTTATTGCCATAGTTCCACCCCCAGCACCACAGAACCTTAGCTGCCTGACTAACCTGACCAAACCGGAAACCCTCTCATGTCAATGGGACCCAGGACAGGACACCCACCTGCCCACACAGTACACTCTCCACACCAAGATCAGGTAACAAGTGGCTATTGTTGGAGAACAAGTGAATCTTTGTTGTATATTTAGATTTACATTTACATGTCAAACGTAAATGTATATTGTTATTATGATTCTATTTTTTAAATGCTTTCTTGGACAATCTAGCTACTTTGCCCCTTAGGGCCACTGTACTATAAATGCCTGCATATGTGTGGTGGTTATCCAAAGAGAACCGGTTTAGATGTTACTTCCAAGTTTCCTTCTGCGCCAACCTAGCTACTTTGCCCGTTATGGCCACTTACAATATCACTATGCATAGGTGTGGTGGTTATCCAAAGAACTTAAAGGGGAAGATGCGTAACTCTGATTTGTTCAAGAAGTTGTATTATTTCTTCATCTTAACAGGGACTTACAAGAGAGCAACACTTACGTGCTGCCGCCAGGGGCACATCACTACAGGATACCACGTACCGGCTTTGTTCTCTTCTCAGAGATAGAAATATATGTCAAGGCGGTGAATGCCTTGGGTCAAGCCACCTCAACACCTTTGCTTCTGGAGCCCATGAAGTCAGGTAAAGAAGTAGTGATTTGGGTTGTGATTTACAGGATATGGTGTCCATATTAGGACAGCCTCAGTCATAAGAACTTGGTGTCACTTGTGACTCTGAAGCTGTCCTAATACAGACACTGTGAAAAGATAGTTATTCTGAAGCTCACTGTATTCTTTAAACCTGAAAGACAGAACCTTATGTACAAGTACTTTGTGGCATGGTATTGAGATTAAGCTATTCGCATCATAGGAGTTCTAATATAACTCTCATATTGCAGCCAAGTTTGACCCTCCAAAAGTTCTGAAGGTCCAAGCAGAGCCAAACAGGTATGGCTGCCTAAGGCTCAGCTGGTGTCTCTCTGAACAGCAAGCATGGGTGACCATCGTGAGCTTGGAGGTGCGACAGAAAACAGCAAACAGCAAGCAGTGGAGTGAAGAACCAGTAAGAGAATGCCCTTTTCCTAAGTGTCCACATACTGCAACCATTTGAACAAAATTATTTAGATTAAACAACATTAAAAATAAATTATCATACCAACTGTACTAGGCAACCATAAAAATAATCACATTACTGTGTGTGTGTGTGTGTGTGTGTGTGTGTGTGTGTGTGTGTGTGTGTGTGTGTGTGCATGTATGTTTGTGTGTGCGTGCGTGCGTACGTGCATGTGTCTTAGGTCCCAGTGCCCCGCTTAGTGCGCCAGAGACCCATCGAGGTGTGTCGTCTGCTCCACGGGACAGAGTACCACATCCAGATACGGGTCAGGTATCACCAGAGTCCATGGAGTGAATGGAGTAACAGCAATACTGCAGTCACGCTTGAGAGGGGTATGTCCTGCATCAATTATATTTAATGTACTGTAATGTATCACTCCCATGGTGAATGAAATGTCCCACATTTTCAATCCCTCTATTTTACAGCTCTGGTAGAATGTATGTATTGACCAGCACTAGGCTCTTTGGCAGTGAATCCATAGCCTACACCTGTTTAGTCTGGAAGAATTCTCCTCTTCTCCTCACACAACTGAGGAGGCACAAACATTTGATGAGTTTCAAAATGGACACTTCTGCTTCTTTTCAGCTCCCACCGGACGACTCGACTATTGGATGACGGTATCTGGGGAGCAGAGGCAAAAGCATCTCAGTGTACACTTGCTTTGGAAGGTAAGAACGACACACAGAACATACTCAAATTTGACACGTCACAAACTTTTATGTTACCTGTGATAGTGGAACACAACTTGCCCTTCAAGTGTCCTCTCTTCCTCACTCCTCTCCTTTCTTCCTTTTGTAGCCATCGAAGCAGTTTCGTGCCAATGGCAAGATCCTGTCCTATGTTGTCTCGCTCCAGAGACAACCCACGAAAAAGCTACAGTTGTGCGTCACATTGGATAGCCACTGTGTTTTCCAGCTTCACAGGGGGGCAAGGAAAGTCTTCCTCAGTGCTGGGAACGCTGCAGGGGCATCCAGCCCTACTGAGGTGGAAGTGTTTCAACATAGAGGTAAAGCTTTATTATTAGTTAGATTGTGTATAAAGGGACATTTTACTCAATATTTTAGTATTTTGTTCATTAGTCCACTTTTAATACAATCGCAATAAATAGTACATGTCAAGTTTTCAAGATAGAGCACTTTCAGTACAGAGCAAAAACGAAATATCCCTGTTGCTGAATTCCAAATTAACCCCTACACCCTAGGCACTCCTGTAGATCTGAGGGGATTGCATACAGTTGGAGTCAGATGTTTACATAGACCTTAGCAAAATATATTTAAACTCAGTTTTTCACAATTCCTGACATTGAATCCTAGTAAAAATGCCCTGTCTTAGGTCAGTTAGGATCACCACTTTATTTTAAGAATGTGAAATGTCAGAATAATAGTAGAGAGAATGATTTCTTTCAGCTTTTATTTCTTTCATCACATTCCCAGTGGGTCAGAAGTTTACATACACTCAATTAGTATTTGGTAGCATTGCCTTTACATTGTTTAACTTGGGTCAAACGTTTCGGGTAGCCTTCCACAAGCTTCCCACAATAAATTGGGGGAATTTTGGCCCATTCCTCCTGACAGAGCTGGTGTAACGGAGTCAAGTTTGTAGGCCTCCTTGCTTGCACACGCTTTTTCAGTTCTGCCCACACATTTTCTATAGGATTGAGGTCAGGGCTTTGTGATGGCCACTCCAATTTTTACATTTCACATTTTAGTCATTCAGCAGACGCTCTTATCCAGAGCGACTTACAATTAGTGAGTGCATAAATCTTTCCTACTGGCCCCCCATGGGAATCTGAGGGGGTTGCATACAGTTTTACTGTGGATATAGATACTTTTGTACCTGTTTCCTCCAGCATTAACACAAAGTCCTTTGCTGTTGCCAAAACTATAGTTTGTTAACAAGAAATGTGTGGAGTGGTTGAAAAACGAGTTTTAATGACTCCAACCTAAGTGTATGTAAACTTCCGACTTCAACTGTATATTAGCATTATGGCAATAGCTTCATCTGATTGGCTGGGTGGATATGTCACCATATTGCTTCCACCTATGCAATCCTCTGATGTAGGCTAGGGTTTGATTTAGAATTCAGAATATATGCATAAGCAGAAGGTGTTATGTGTGTTATGTCAGCGTCCCAAACACCCTATTACCCATATAGTGTCCTACTTTTGAGTCCTATGTGCACTATACAGGGAATAGGGTGTCATTTGGGACGCAATCTATGTGTGTTTAAGCTTACCTGTGACATATTGTGTGGTAAATATCTGTATCTGTCCCCAGCTCTGGCAGCAGTCTCTGACGTCAATGTCCTTCCTCATGATGAGAGATCACTACTGGTCCAGTGGACAAGCATACATTCATCCAGTGTCACAGGCTATGTGGTGGAGTGGAGGCCATTGTGGAAAATGGACCCTTCCCTCATCTTGTTTGACCATATTGACAGGAATCAATCCAGCACTCTAATATCAGGTATGGTTTATGTCAGTTATAAGGTATACATTCACATTGTACATACTGTAGTTTCATTCTCCTGTCATGTGTCTCTAGTTCTGTGTTAGAAGTTTGTTGGAGGACTATGTACTTCTTTTATATACAATTCTCCTGGCTGCACAATTAATTTATCTGCAGGGACAATAACGTTTTAATTGAATTGCATCTACAGTATCAGCTTGTGAGTGAGAGTGTGTTGTCCACTTTGTTGTTTGAGTTGATTTGTGCAGACTTTTTCTTTGCAGGATTTGTCCACATACTGTAAGCTTATGAACTTGGATCCATTGTTATCGCTTTCTCTTTGTCTACAGAGAGCATCGAGCCGTACAAGCCCTATGGGATCTCTGTGTATCCTAGGTATAAGGAAGGGATTGGCCTTCCTCAAACCATCGAGGCGTACTCTAGACAAAAGGGTAAGTCGGTAAAGACTAACCCTTACACCTTGGACTTTGTAAGATCTTTACAAGATCAAGGGAGGTGTTGCAGGCTTCTTTTGAGTCAATGAGGTTCGAATCAGCTGCAAAACATACTGATGAAAGGTGGTACAATGCTTCCCTCTATTGGAGACATATAGCAAATCACACCTCCGGATACTGCTACTACCATTACTATAAGCTTATTCTATTCTATTTATATCAAACACCCACATTATAGCACTTTGTCAGCATGACAATACCAACAAATCAGAACACTATTAGGTTTATGACATTATATAATTGATATGGTAATCACCACTACTTTTATTGCCATTTAATCCATATATTCCTTAATGTTCTCTTTTGTTTATGGCAGCCCCATCTGCCGCCCCAAATCTGAGGGTGAGGGAGACGTTATATTCTCGTATTGAGCTTACCTGGGAGGAGATTCCACTATGCCAGAGAAATGGGATTGTGCAGAGCTACCAGATCTTCTACTGGGATGAGCAGGGAAACACCAAAGGTAGAAAGATGCTTGTTGTGATGCTGTTGATGATCCACTGTTGATGATACAACTATAGATTACTGAAAGTTCATACACAAGCCTTATTTTGCCAGGCTGTCATTGTAAATAAGTATTTAGGTCACACTTTATTTGGACAGTCTAGATCTACAGATGGTTATACTATCAACAAACTATCTGTTGATCAGCAACTGCTTGCTACGGTTATGGTTAGGTTTAGAATAAGGGTTAAGGTAATGGTTGAGGTTAGGGTTAGGGTAATGGTTAAGGTTAGGGTTAGAGCTAGGGTTAGTAGACAGTTAGCGGAGCATCTAGAGATGGACTATCCAAATAAAGTGTTACCAGTATTTATTCCCAACTGACTCGCCTGGTTAAATAAAGAAATAAACATGTAAACTCATACTGCGGTTGCTGTGTCCCTCTTTTACAGTAGTGACTGCTGAGCTGGAAAAGAGGAGGGTGGTTCTAGAAGAGCTCAACCCTTCGTCCTCATACAAAGCCTTTATCATGGTTAGCACAGGTGGCGGGAGTCTGAACGGATCAGAGGTTACCCTCAAAACTGAACCAATGGGTTGGTATTAGAATTTTGTCAATAAGAGTAAAGTGCTTTTAAATAAAAGTAATGTACAGTGTTATTTGAGGACTAGTCTCGCTTGCCAGACACATGGCGCTCCACCCTATGTGAGGTCAGATACTGTATCTGGAAATTGTCAAAAACATATATCCTAAATCTAAATACATGTATTTTCAGATGTCTTGGCTATCATCATGATAGTTATTTCCTCTGGTGTTGGGCTGTCATTGCTCGTCATTATCTCAGTTCTGGCCTGCTTCTCAACACATGAACGGTGAGGACTCAACAGACTTCATGTCAGTAAATACGGGTGTGTTTGTGCTATTTAAAAACAATATACGTTTCTGTTCCTATCTGAAGGTTGAAGATGTGCTTTTGGCCCATGATCCCCGACCCTGCCAACAGCAGCATCAAGAGGTGGAGCACATCGGATTCAATGCAGGTGCAGTATTAGGATTATCATGACAAACCATGTAATCAGTGTCTGTTGGTAATTACTAAGCACAAGGTTTACTAATCTTTTAGGCATTTATGCATCTATTCTATTCTATTTAATGTTTCTGTGGTTTGACCAAGGAGATACATGTTTCTTTTTCTCTTTGAAGGATATCCCCCCTGTCCAGGACATGCAGGAATCCAGTCTGGTCTATCTCTCCCATCTCAGCCTCATGGACCTGCCTAAGAAGGGTCTCGAGAAGAGGGGTGGCCAGATCACCGATGACTCCTGGTGCCACTGCAGTGACACCAGTGACCTGGGGGAGTCCATATGTGGCTCCCCCCATGCACTCAGCCCTAGCTACTTAGGGTCACACCAACACTCTGTTCCGTATGCCACTGTGGTCTTTGATAGCCCGTACTCAAGTCAGCCACCAAGCCAGTCCCATGCCTACCTGCGCTCAGAGTCCACACAGCCACTCCTGGAGGACGAGCTCGAGGAGCCCTCAAGCCCAAAGGAGTACCAGAATGTTCCCGTCCGTGGGGCATCTGGGGAGCAAGTTTCCTTTAGAGAATGCCAGGATGACGGCCCAGGAAAGGGAGAGTTATGCACTCTTTGGGATGACTTTCCCTTGCTTAGGGCTTTGGCAATGAATGATGTTCAAAGTGAAACCTAACCTCAGTGGTATTGAGATTTTGAAATGTATGCAAGATATATGAGATGTATGTCATAGAATGGCAGATACATTTTCAACACCAATTATGTTTTCAAGACAGGGACAACATGATTGCCCAGTTTGTGGATGTTAGTGCTAAAAGAAGTGTAATTAATCAAGTTTAATAAAGTTTTATTTTTCATGAGTGTTCAATATTTTGCTCTTCTGGCCTATTGTAAATGATCAAATAAATGTCTGATCAATACATACAACTTTGAACATATTGTCATTTATAATGCTAATACAGAGGCACCAATAAATTGTCCAGTACAGTTATTGTATGCTGTTTTCATGTACATTCCCTTATGTCTAAGCTTCTAAGGCAGGGATCCCCAACTGGCGGCCCGTGGGCCGAATTTGGGCCACGGTTGGTTTTATTTGGCCCCCCAAGTTGTCTGAGCAAATAATATATAGATATATATTTATATTTATCTCTTTTTTTCGTAAAGTTTCATTGTTGGACATAAGACTGTAAAAACACCAGAAAATCCCCTCCATGTTCTGAAATATTATTTTGGTCCCCCCCAGTTCTATCATTGCAATGTGATACAAAAAACGGCGAAGGTGTGCTTTAGGACCATGCGGATGCTTCTGAGCGGTTGGGTAGGCTGTTTGGCGTGTTCAGAAGCCTGGATTTAGGACCACACGGACACCACAGAGCGGGCTGACAGGCTATGTGAAGGCAAAGCTTCTGGAAGGCTGGCTGGACCAGCACGGGAGAGTTCAACATAGTTCAGTGTGTATGTGTTGCACTCTTTCACCAAGTTGTAAAAGCAAGCAGAGCAGAAACTGGCTACTATTTAGTTGATTGATGTAGCTGGCAAGTTCACTGCTTCTTAACTGAACAGAAAAAAACTAAACTAGTGTTTATTCGCTGAGCTAGTATTGTAACTGATATGCAATGTTAGCTAATGTTTCATCCCCTCTTGACTGAGGTGAATGAATAAGCTACACTAGCTAGTAGCTACCACAGCCAGGTCAGCTCTAGCCTCTAGTTATCTGTCAGATAGCAATATGAGGTGGCTATTATTACTGACTAACAGCTGTTGTTTGTATGGAAATCTTTTCTAGCATTTGTTTTGTCTCATTTCAGAAGTAAATGAACTTGGCTAGCTTTTCGCCAGCTGATGTACAGTTAGAGAGCTGGCCAAAAGTTGGCTTACGTTAGCTTTTCTTTTTGCCTCAATCACACTAGACCTGAATCAAACGATGAAACCATCGGCCAACAATTGAATATTGATATTCTGACATTTTTTCAGTGCAATGTGAGTTTTATTAGTCAGTATGGCAATTAGATGTTATTGATCTGTCAGTTTCCCTAGCTAATTATCTACTTTTCACACTGACACAGTAATAAACAGCTCTAATGTTACAGGCTTCACTGTCATGGCGCACAGTAGAGTCTGCGCGGGACCGATCTCATCATCCCGCTCCCGCCTGCACCCGCTGGCTTTCTGTCCAACTCCCATCCCCTACCACAAGAACTAGTCCCAAACCCAGCCCTGGTCCCAGCAATTTTGCGCCCTATTGGCAATATCAAATGTGGAAAAATAACTTAAGAAATGGGATAAGTTACCAGAGGTTCTCACATGGCCCTTATATTGTATTACTGGACTATATCAGCCAATATGCTAGATGTTGTTTGAAGAGAGCAGAGTTGGAGAGACTTGCACTTTCTCTTGAGCTATTTTTATAGCCTACCTTTTAGGAGTGGGAAGATTTTCAGACGGAGAAATATGGGCGATCAATATTTAGGCCTATTTCTAGGCAATGTAGTAAACTATGGCCTAATCATAGGACTATTTAGGAAGTACATTTCATTGGAAAGATAACTGCCCCGTGCTTCTCCACCCATGCATAGGCTATAGCCTACTCTATTTAATTGAGACCACACAAGCACCTAATTTTGAAGGTATGGCTACTGAACTGAAAGCAGCAAGAATGCTGACAGCTACATTTGCTACGTTTTGCATAGGTCTATTGGATATTGCCTATAGTAGCCTAACCTATGTGCACATTGTGCCCTTTCCTTTTCAGTGATGATTAAATGTTTTTATTGTACTTCAACTCACATTGGTTGAGCGCCCTCCAATTATTATTTCCATTATCAATATTTATTTACAGACACTGTACTAAACTACAGTCTAATCATATTTAAGTTAATTTCATATTCAAGTTAACTGCCACGTGATTCTCAGCCCATGTAGGCAGCCTACACTATTTCAATGAGACCACACATACTAGGCACACTTGAACTCTCACGCCCAACTAGGAGAGGTAGGCTACTGAAGTTGAAGCAGCGAATTCTGAGTGTGTGAATAATGTAAAAAATATGTCATTTTAATACAATACGTAGGCTAACGCATACAAAGCAGAAAGAGGACAGTTTTGAATTGATGGGTAGACATACAGTAGCTACAGGACAGAAGCTTAAAGCTACAGTCTTGGATCTGGGAATAGTGGTCATTTCAATTATTGAACCATTGATTTTATTCTTGAATAATGTAATGTACAGTGGGGGAAAAAAGTATTTAGTCAGCCACCAATTGTGCAAGTTCTCCCACTTAAAAAGATGAGAGAGGCCTGTAATTTCCATCATAGGTACACGTCAACTATGACAGACAAATTGAGAAAAAAAAATCCTGAAAATCACATTGTAGGATTTTTTATGAATTTATTTGCAAATTATGGTGGAAAATAAGTATTTGGTCACCTACAAACAAGCAAGATTTCTGGCTCTCACAGACCTGTAACTTTTTCTTTAAGAGGCTCCTCTGTCCTCCACTCGTTACCTGTATTAATGGCACCTGTTTGAACTTGTTATCAGTATAAAAGACACCTGTCCACAACCTCAAACAGTCACACTCCAAACTCCACTATGGCCAAGACCAAAGAGCTGTCAAAGGACACCAGAAACAAAATTGTAGACCTGCACCAGGCTGGGAAGACTGAATCTGCAATAGGTAAGCAGCTTGGTTTTAAGAAATCAACTGTGGGAGCAATTATTAGGAAATGGAAGACATACAAGACCACTGATAATCTCCCTCGATCTGGGGCTCCACGCAAGATCTCACCCCGTGGGGTCAAAATGATCACAAGAACGGTGAGCAAAAATCCCAGAACCACACGGGGGGACCTAGTGAATGACCTGCAGAGAGCTGGGACCAAAGTAACAAAGCCTACCATCAGTAACACACTACGCCGCCAGGGATTCAAATCCTGCAGTGCCAGACGTGTCCCCCTGCTTAAGCCAGTACATGTCCAGGCCCGTCTGAAGTTTGCTAGAGTGCATTTGGATGATCCAGAAGAGGATTGGGAGAATGTCATATGGTCAGATGAAACCAAAATAGAACTTTTTGGTAAAAACTCAACTCGTCGTGTTTGGAGGACAAAGAATGCTGAGTTGCATCCAAAGAACACCATACCTACTGTGAAGCATGGGGGTGGAAACATCATGCTTTGGGGCTGTTTTTCTGCAAAGGGACCAGGACGACTGATCCGTGTAAAGGAAAGAATGAATGGGGCCATGTATCGTGAGATTTTGAGTGAAAACCTCCTTCCATCAGCAAGGGCATTGAAGATGAAACGTGGCTGGGTCTTTCAGCATGACAATGATCCCAAACACACCGCCCGGGCAACGAAGGAGTGGCTTCGTAAGAAGCATTTCAAGGTCCTGGAGTGGCCTAGCCAGTCTCCAGATCTCAACCCCATAGAAAATCTTTGGAGGGAGTTGAAAGTCCGTGTTGCCCAGTGACAGCCCCAAAACATCACTGCTCTAGAGGAGATCTGCATGGAGGAATGGGCCAAAATACCAGCAACAGTGTGTGAAAACCTTGTGAAGACTTACAGAAAACGTTTGACCTGTGTCATTGCCAACAAAGGGTATATAACAAAGTATTGAGAAACTTTTGTTATTGACCAAATACTTATTTTCCACCATAATTTGCAAATAAATTCATTAAAAATCCTACAATGTGATTTACTGGATTTTCTTTTCTCATTTTGTCTGTAATAGTTGACGTGTACCTATGATGAAAATTACAGGCCTCTCTCATCTTTTTAAGTGGGAGAACTTGCACAATTGGTGGCTGACTAAATACTTTTTTTCCCCACTGTATAAATGTACACTACCAGTCAAAAGTTTTAGAACACCTACACATTCAAGGGTTTTTCTTAATTTTTACTATTTTCTACATTGTAGAATAATAGTGAAGACATCAAAACTATGAAAGAACATATATGGAATCATGCAGTAATCAAGAAAGTGTTAAACAAATCAAAATATAGTTTATATTTGAGATTCTTCAAATAGCCACCCTTTGCCTTGATGACAGCGTTGCACACTCTTGGCATTCTCTCAACCAGCTTCACCTGGAATGCTTTTCCAACAGCCTTGACCTGGAATGCTTTTCCAACAGTCAATTTGGTTGAGGTCGGGGGATTGTGGAGCCCAGGTCATCTGATGCAGCACTCCATCACTCTCCTTCTAGGTAAAATAGCCCTTACACAGCCTGGAGGTGTGTTGGGTCATTGTGCTGTTGAAAAACAAATGATAGTCCAACTAAGCCCAAACCAGATGGGATGGCATTTCGCTGCATAATGCTGTGGTAGCCATGCTGGTTAAGTGTGCCTTGAATTCTAAATAAATCACAGACAGTGTCACCAGCAAAGCACCCCCACACCATAACACCTCCTCCTCCATGTTTTACGGTGGGAAATACACATGCAGAGATCATCCGTTCACCCACACCACGTCTCACAAAGACACAGCGGTTGGAACCAAAAATCTCCAATCTCCAAATCGCACATTTCCACCGGTCTAATGTCCATTGCTCGTGTTTCTTTGCCCAAGCAAGTCTCTTCTTCTTATTGGTGTCCTTTAGTAGTGGTTTCTTTGCAGCAATTCAACCATGAAGGCCTGATTTACACAGTCTTCTCTGAACAGTTGATGTTGAGATGTGTCTGTTACTTGAACTCTGTGAAGCATTTATTTGGGCTGGTAACGCTAATGAACTTATCCTCTGCAGCAGAGGTAACTCTGGGTCTTCCACTCCTGTGGCGGTCCTCATGAGAGCCAGTTTCATCATAGCGCTTGATGGTTTTTGCGACTGCACTTGAAGAAATGTAAAAGTTCTTGAAATTTTCCGGATTGACTGACCTTCATGTATTAA